CCAATCTCGGTGAGGTTGATCTGGTCGCCAAGAGCGTGGACGTGCTGGCAAAGAGTAATGTCGTCCATGCCGCTTCCCTTGAGAGCCTCGAGGCAGGCGATCTCAGAAATGAGGTACATGACACGGTAACCCTAACCCTAACCCTAACCCTAACCCTAACCCTAACCCTAACCCTAAATCTCGATTCACACTGGGATCTTTACCTTTTTTTCGGCCCTGCTGCTGTCGCTTCTCGTGCGTGCTGGCTGAAGCTTCCCCCGCACATTGACAGTCACGGTCTATTTCATCGACTCGTGTCCATCCGCGGTCTCGGCCCAAGCTACCTCGACCAGTGGTTTTCAGCCCGGGAATTCACGTCCGCGAAGAAACTTGGTGAGTTTCTCTGCCTCGCTCTCCCCCGCCCTGTTGTTCTCACACTAACAACTCTTCTGCGACTTGTCTAGGCCCTGCAGGTGCCGCCGACACATCCTCACGCAACATGGAGAAAGCCACTGCGGCATCGTCGCGAGACCGATCGCGATCAAATAGGCGAAACACAACTCTACCTAGTAGAGGTGGACTGTCGGAGTCGGGCTCAAGCAACAATCCTCAAGACAAGCCAGATTCTACCGGTATGCCCAACCACGAGATCGATGACAGCGGTATCGGCGACATTGACGTCTCGGAAACGGATTTGGGGGAGGGTTCGGGTGCCGATTTGAACCCCGATGTGTCTCGCCCCAGTGCTGCTGCGGAATCTGCCCACTCCACCCAGAATGCCCTCTGCGAAATAAGTCGTCAAGCCCAACAAACGGTATCGTCACACGAGGGTCTTGAGAATGCAGGTGCAAGCGCAGAAATTTTGCAGTGTGTTTTGGACGACATCAAGGATGAGGGCCGTTTCCAGAAAATCCGGACACGGATTAACGCCGATGCCAAGTACGCGACCGACGCGGGTATGGACAAGGCAGAATCGGAGAGCAGCATCATCCAGCTGCGCGAGAAGACCCTCGCTCGTCTATGCGCCATCGAGGAGCAGACTGACGGCTGCGTTGACAATGAGGAGGACTAGAACTCTGCCTCACAGGCCCAAGCCGACGCTATTGCGTTACAGTCGAATATCGATCAACAGCTGGCGAGTTCCGTTCGCCGAAAGAGAATGGCTGAGAGGGCGATCCAGGCAGATAATGCAAAGAGGCCCCGAGTTCTAGCGGCTGCCAAAAAGGCACTTGAGGCCATACGGGAGCTGGAGGAGGCTGTGGACGAGGCTTTGCCTCCGGTTTTTGAGCAGGGCAACCGCCCCTTATAAGAAGCACCACTGAAAGTTTGGGGAGAAAGACTACATGAAGAGTTCTCCATCACAAGACTCCACGGCACGACTCATCAAGTAGGCTCGCGGGTATGGCATTTCAGGATGAGGTTCAGGTTCGGGCCAGCAGTTACACGTTTTGGCCGCTGATTGTTGGAGGATGGTATTCACTAGTTGGACCAGATGGCGTCTCCCTTGGTGTGCCAATAATGGCACGATAGATTTAATGAACAACACTTCTTATTGGGCGAAAATTGAGTATTCCATACGTCTACACTGTTGGTGCCTCGAACGATGCTGTCTGATCATAAACATGCCTCGACTACCTTGTGGGCCTTGATGTACATAGATCTTTGGCTCCGTGGTATCTTATGAACAAACCAACCACATTCCCACCACTCAAGAAACCTGATAGGACCACCATGATACGTAAACTTCTTTCGTGATGGCTTAGACCATCTCCACAATCCGCATCGATGCCCTTATTGTAACTGACCATTCAACAACCCCCAGCATGCGTTCTAGACAGGATGGTCTGTCGAGTCAGTGGAGTCGTTGCTTGTTCGGCGGTTCTGGGAGGCTCACTGTATTGAAAAAGGACTGTGATGGGCAAAGGACAGCCACTATTGGGACCACTTGCATGCTCTTGGACTACTGTATTCCTTGGAAAGAAGAACAGCATTACGAGATGTCTCGATCGCGGATGTTTGAGTTGTCACTGATGGCGCCTTGGGAAACGAGATTATCGCCTGAGCTGTCTGTACCCAACATACCAGTAGTTTGTAGCGCGGTTGGATTGGCGAGCGACAGACTCTCCAAAGATGAGCTGGGGTGATTACTTAACGGGCATCATCCAACAAGCCGGACGACCTCTGATATTGTAAGGGTGCCGCGACTAAGAGTGCCATAAGTGAGGAAGAGAATGCAATTACATTAACGCTGGAAAGTCATCACGAGATGCTCGGCGATCTCTTCATGTGAAGGCAGACTCGAGGTACTCGTGCCCTTCCGAGATGTGATTGTCAAGTCTTCAGAGAACCTCAAGTAAACTGTACGGGGCTTCAAGGTCGCACATGATCTGGTATAGAGGGGATGATATGGTACGAGTCCCGGCTGGCTGCTTGAACCTCCACTGCCGGATCATTTCTGATCCTGATCAGCTCCATATAGAAACCCCCATGTCTTGATGTGTGTCCGTGAGATGGGCTCGTCAAGTTCAACCAAGACATTAGCTGGTCCTGTCGCAGGCCGCTCGTGTGTGTGAATGAGTTACGAGGCCATCCTCTCCTTCCACATCTTGGCCCCATTCTGTGAAAGACCCTCTACAATTAGCGCCGGCTCTCCATGTTGCGTTCATATTGTTTTCATAGTTTTGCGGCTCGTGATAGGCCGTCTAGGATCCACGCATATTCGCGGTCCAGGTCGGCTTTGAGACCATGTGCCTGATTTGGCGATGGACCTTTCAGTATCACCTGGCACAAGATATTTGCACCTCATAGGAGATTCTCCAACTCTTGATATTCCTCCGCCAACCTGCCACCCGCATCCACAGCTGCCTCGGCTTTCCTCCCCGGTGCTTCGTTACATTTTTCGTCCTTTCGAATCTGGCGGAGTTGTTTCGTCGCCCAGTCGACCGGTGAGCATGTCTCGTTGTCTACATTGCACAACTTTGGGCCCTTGTGCCAGTCCCTCCGCCCATCATGTTCAACATCGCGGCTCATTAGTCAGCTTGCGTTCGCGAAGCTGTGGCCCTAGGTTCTCCAGCCGGTGGTATGCTGCAGCCAATGGCGCAGGCAAGGGTTGCGACCAACGCAGCATCGACTAGTCCTAGACGCCGCAGAAGCTGGTGGAGAATGTAGACCGTAGTGCGCGTTTCGTGTGAGTCAGGACGGCTGGCGGCGATTTCGTTCGTCAACTGCGTTAGTACCGCGTCCTCCAGCCAAGCCATTCGCCATGCCGTCTATCCACCTTCTATCCAGCCTCGATATCGACTCGGCAGTATCAACTGTGTTTTGGACCACCAAGACTCCTTTCGTAGGGGCGCTGGCTGTCTCGTCGACCGTGGCAGGCGTTTCTGACGTACATGATGTCTTGCTGGACTGCCCCAGCTAATGTTGCTGCTAGGGCAGTGCCAGACCGGAGTCCAAGCTAGGCCACGTTATCAAACGCATGGGGCGGCGCTTTGCAGAGCGACAGCGAATTGAAGGAGACGCAATGCCGGCATGGATGAGCCAGAGAATGATGCTAACCACAATGATGGTGATGATGAGAATCGGCGTAGCGGCCACAAGGCAGACCCGATTGTTGGTTCACACGTCAGGATCAGATGTTCCGGTCACGATAAGGTCAATAGTGCTGTATTGGTCTATTGCGCGTGGTGGAAGGAGGACGTTTGTGGGCAGAGCCGGCGATTCCTCTACGGAGGTAAGGAGGTAGAAGGGTCCGTCAGCAGGGCACAAATTGCTTACCTAATATTCACCCACCTGCCACCTACCCACTCCCTTTTCTGCCTTCTGCCTCAGTAATCCAACATCAATGCGCATGAGCATGGGCGGCCAAATGAACCCAAGGACCAGAAAAAATCTTACGCCAAACCGTTATTTTAACGTAGGCTAAAGTGAAACAGACATCGGGATGCTGTTGAATGATGTCCGCTCCAGCTAGTTCACATTGCCTTGATGGTGAGTGTTGCTCATATGCATCACGCGAACGCTTAACGTGTTGAAGGTGGTGGTGCTTATGGTGATGCTGGCGTTGCTGACAAGCGGCTGTTGGGATGCTGTCACCGACCGAGAGGCATATCCTCGAGCGTAGGCATTGATATAGGCTCACCCGTTCGTCGGTCCTAAATGGTGGAAGCGTCATTCAGTGGCTTGGAGCCCGTCGAGAAGCAGAAGTGAGTGATGTACAATTTCTCGTGACCATGTCCCGCGACGGGCTTCAGACTGAGATGATCTCGAAGAATTGGTTCAGCGGCCGAGGATGATCTCTTGGTCGTAAATTCCTATTACGAGTAGGCCAGAAGACGGATGAACCCTATGCGTAAACTGCCGTCTTCCCCGGGACTACAAGGTGCCTTTGACAAGGTGATATAACCATAGAGTCTGTGAGACTCAGAAAGTCTCCATAACATGCCGCTCGAGTCTCATATTCACAAAGTGCATTACTCGGGCAGCAAAATTCGAGCCGCCCTCATGGTGATAAGGCAACAGACTGACGTGTGTGTTTTGAGTCTGGCTGACCACGAGGAGAAGGTGGAGAAGAGTTAGGTAAAACGAGAATGTATGACTCTGTCACAGGCGTCAGAAGGTGTAGAAAGATGCAGTCTGCTATCCGCACTCTCGTCCCCCCATCACGGCATCATTACGCGCATTTGACTTGAGCCCATACTCTCTCCTCGAGGTCAGAATCCTTCCAGACAGGACAAGACCAAGTCAACCAACGAGATCGGGAGGATCTCCGCCGCCTATACATACATCAATCAATAGGGCGACTCATGGCAGAATAGAGGGCGTTGAATTTAGGTTTGCTCCGCTTATCTCGATCGCCTCTCGTCTCTTGCCGTCTCCACCATGGCAACTCGATCCGGTCCGGCAACTTACGAAGTAAGCGAGCACCAACCATCTCACTCGTCCCACCTGTCTCACTCACTCCGCCCGTCTCACTCACTCCACCTGTCTCACTCACTCCTCGCTTTATTTGTCTCACTCACTGCACCAATCCGTGCCATCTCACTCACGTCACCCGCCCTACATTGTCTCAATGATAGAAGCCCCAACTCTGCATTCGGCATCGTCGTCGTTGTACTTCTTGTATGTCTCTACTACTCATCATAGATCCACGCTTCAGCACCGCATTGATATCGATTTGACGCGCGCCGTCGGATTCATCTTCTTCAGAGCCCCAGGTGATGATGAGAGCACAGGCTGTGGGGAGACTGCTGCCCCCCTTTGCTCCACTTGGACAGAAGCGACCCCATCGGCGTTACCGCCTGTTCTGATTACATTTCGGAGCAGCTCATTACCATAATTCCATAAGCGTGGATCGAGAAGGTAGGCAAGGAAACCGGAGTTGCCATCAATACTTAGCCGCTGCCGACAATAGTGTGTTTGAGCGTCAACGGTTCTTCATATCCCATCGACTGCTGCAAGGCGACAGTACATCCGAGTGCGGGGGAAGAACTAATCAGGCGTTATTCCGATTTATTTCCACTATATCCGCAAATCAAAAACTCATATCTCGGAGAATTTGGAGAAAAGCTGGAGACCATTGTACTGTCGCCTTGCAGCAGTCGATGGGATACAGCACGAATCGCGTGTTTCCAGTGCTGGGGGCCTATTATCTTGGAACGATGCTGCCAACTATAGAGGGAACCCGGGAGAAAGCAGTAGAAGAGCTTTCGAAAAGGGGGCTCGATCGCAAAAGGATTTGATGGTGTCAGGAGGAAGACCGGAAGGGGCTGGTGAGGTGGCGCAGGGAAGCCAGGCCATGGGTCTGACGAGTCATGGTTTTAATCTCTGTGGTGTGTTTGACGATATCAGCGCAAACGTACACATCATTGGACCACTTATGAAAGGCGTAGGTATAGGAGAAGAGAGGAGAATGAGAGAGAGAAGACTACATCCTTCCTGTATCCAAGCTCATCGTCGTCGCTTCCAGGACGTCACCAAGGTCAAACCTATTCTCGTGACAGAACAGCAATAAACAGGCCTGTTATGGCCGGGGAGTCCATCGAATCAAATATGTATGGCTCTGCAATCCTCAACAGAGTTTCGTCGCTTTCACTCATATTCTTACTGCCAAGACTCAACATGATGTGAGAAGCTCAATGTTGCAGGCTGTTTCCCTGAAACACGAAATAAAGGCGATATCGCCAATGCCGATATGCCAGCAGAGAAGATCAAACCGAAAGACTCGACGAATAGAGCCCTTCGTGACAACAAGTTCTGCGTTCCCTCGAATTCAACGATGCCGACATTAAGGAGCCCCAGACCAACGCAGAGGAGAAACTTCAAGAGATGGACTTCGGACTGGCCAAGACCAATGAGCTTGTAACCTTCGTGGGTGGCAGCGGAGGAGATGGAGGCGAAGACGAAGAGCCCTGGACGAACGACTGGGAGGCCGGTCAAGGCAAGCTCAGGAGTTGACACAACAGGACCTTTTGCAAACTAGATCGGGTGCGTGAGCGATGATAATGGCGCAGTGGACATGGACCAGATACACAAGCCGGGCGTCTCCTGGTAGTAAAAGCAGCATCCTTGGAAAATGGCCAGGGATGGTAGATTGGGTGGCAGACCAAATGCCGCTGTCTTGCAGTCTGGTGATACATATGATCCGCTTCTTTCGTCTTTGAACGAGCCAGATACTCCCTCAGCCACGGCTCCTTTAGTCGACGGCATCGACAATGACGGATTTATTCCTATTGGCAGTGATCCCGCGAGCCTCGAGTTCCAGAAAGAGTACCGAGACGTTGTGGAGGGTTCGCAGCGCGCAACGAACAGCTCCACCACAGGCAGCGCTCCGCCACCGAAAGACAACATTGACGGTGACTTAGGTGCGTGGTGCCCAGGATTCCAACAGCACAAGAAGGAGCTGACACAAGGCCATAGAAGGGATAGGGAAGAAAGGCCAAGGACAGGCGATTAAGTTAATGTGTGGGAGGAGGCTACCGATCGATGCAAGGTTGTGCAGTTTGAGTAGACATAGAATGAGATCAGGAGCGAAGCGTGGGGGACTGTGAGGAGAAGAACGAAGAGTCTTTCTGATGCTGGCGAGGGTTATTGGGAGACGTGGTCCATGTATCATTGCTTGAAGGGCGTAATTCGAAGATGTACAAAGCAGAAGGATTGATCAGCTACGTGACCATCCTCTGTGAACTGTAAACCGCCCGATCTTCTTGTGCTTCGGACGTCCGTTAGCAGCGGCCCCTGTGTTCTCGGCGACAAGTCTGGCGTTGTTGTCATGACCAAAGTCATCATACGAGTCAGACTGACCTTCCCTCATCACCATAAGCTCGAGGTCCACGGCGACGTATGCACCTTCAGTCTCGATAGTCTGATGAATTCAAGGCCCTCAATGAGCCAACAAATCATTGAGACGCGTCCCAACTGTGTCGGCATGTATTTCATGTCACGCGACTGATGACGAAGGAGGAGAAGGAGGCATCGTTGGAGCCCTTGTGTATTTGATACCGCAAGGAGAACGTTTTGAGGATCGGCCGGATGGTATCGTACATAACGTAGATCTCGTGTGGGATGAGTTGTTGATTTGCTCGAGAACTGCTCTGCAACCATGCGAAGTGGTGCGGATAAAGGAGAAGAGGAGTCGATGCTAGGCTGCTGCTGCTGTTGCAATGAAGGGGGTTGTTGATGGGATGGAACTGAGCGGTCAAGGATACCGCTGCCATGGCTGTGACCACAGAGTTAGCTTCCTGGACAAGAAAGTGGAATAGGATGATATGTACACGTGCCAGCACCAGACTGATGCTGGGATGAAGCAGGCTGCTAATAAGAGGGACATATCGGATGGCCATATGAGTTTGGCATCGATGCTGTGTTCAATTTTGTTAGCTTTGAGTCGGGAAAGAACCGAACAAGAGTAGCGTACTTCATACAAGGCCCTTGGTGTATTGCTGTTGATCATTACTTTGGCCTGAAATGTAAGGGCTAGGCCTTCTTGCTGATCATGCAAATGCGTCGAGGGAGCACAGCCTTGTCAGAGGTTTTCAGGTTGTACATTTCGAGGAGAATGCCAAGGAAGTACGCATGCTGGGGCACATGCGGTTCTGAAGGCTGCTCTGGCCAGCGGTAGTACCACTACCAGCAGCAGCAGCAGCGGCACCCCGCTGATTGCTGTAGACCATGATCTCGCTGTTGCTGAGACGGAGAAGAGCTATATTGTCAGTTTCCTCGGCTCCTCGACAAGAGTGACACATTACATGGCACGTACAAGGACCAGCTTGAGGCTGCTGCGGACGCTGCTGCGAAAAACACCATTGGTTCGACGGCTTTGACCATTGTGGTTGGTAGAAAACCAGCCGGTGAAAAGTTGTCGGTTTGGCGTAAGGCCGAAGTGTTTGCGGGCTTTCGCCATCGGAAGTGGCGATTGAGAGCTGCGGTGCAGGCCTCACAGAGACCGCAAGGTAGATAAAGAGAGTCGGAGGAGCGTATGGCCGCTGCGCATGGGATAGGGATGAGGTCGGATCAGATGCGTGGAGTCCCGCTGGCAGCTTTTAGGGGATTGATAAGAGCCAAGAGCAGAGCGGGACACCTACAGAGTCCAAAACCAAGCCAGAGACGGCTACAGGATTCGCCCTTCAACCTCAGGAGCTTTTCTTTGGGTCTCTTGTGACAAAGAGATTGAAGTATGGGAGGACACGAAGCCAAAGAGCTGTGGTTTGTGACAGAGGCTGAGCGTCCGTTTTGGAAGTACTCGGTGTAGGTGTCGTTGAGTTCCCAGATGCGGTGCTTGGTTGTGTCTGGGAGGTTCCTTCACCTGTCACCGGCGACGCTTTAAGGATCGGCATCGGTGGCATTGGGACTCGGCAATGATGTCTTTGACGTATTCAGGTATGATGACTGCGACGATGAGGTTGACGAGTGAATATGGGGGGAAGTGTTGTATCTCTGATCAGTTGGCAGGAAAGGTGGACTTGGAAGGCGGTCAGGACCATACCTTCCACTTACACGCCACTTCTGAAGAACCGCAGGTTCTGCCCACTTCCTCCTCCTTCCACCTCCAAACATAGTAAGAAACACCACTTGTTTGACCCTTCTTGCCAATCGTGCGGGTGCACTACTGACGTGTATGACAATAGAAAGCCTCAGCGACTTTTTTTCCAGAAGTAGAAAGCACTGCGAATTGGGAGGAAAAGGAAGGGGGCGAGGGGATGCGGGAACGTGGAAAGCGGAATGCCCAGCTGCGATGGACGGTGAAGGAAGAAGGTGGTTCCACAGCAGCCAGAGAAAGCTTGAGTTGTCCCTCCCAATTCTTCCCGGAAAGACTGAATAACTTTTAACAAACAACATCATCCAGATACAAACACATGCGGCCGCGGCCTCCCTCCCCCGCGACCAAGTTTGGGCCCCACGATAACAATGAAACCGCTTTTACGATATGTGCCAGCCCGAATCCACAAATCTGCTGAATTTCGTGAAGTTGTCGCTTGCCCAATTGATCTATGCGACTCTCCACCTGTCATTGGTGGCGATAGCTAAGCTGGCAATGCATAGACTCGATGGTCGAGGTCTTTCGGTTTTATTGTTTGTCAGGACGACTTAAGACGGCCGATCAGAACGTCTTAATCCAACGCCACGACCTCATCAAGACCGAGTCTGAGAAGCTTGCCATGGGAGCCCACAAAAGGGACTTTTTGGACTTGAGCCATTCTTGCGGCCGTCTCTCGTTCATGGTCTTGAGTGTTAGGCTTACATTTGAAGGCATCCTTGACGCCACCATCGTGTTGTCCAGTTTGCCAGGCTCCTTGCACTTGCTGCCGTTTCCCCCGGGATATTGATACAGTCCGCACTCGCCTCAACTGCCCGCCTGTCGTCGAGCTCTGGCTGGCGACGTTTCTCTCCCTCAAGTGCCCTGTGGAGAAGCGGGACTTATTTCTCACCTCGCCCCATATTATCATCAGTTTCCGCGTTCTGATTCCTATGCTCAGTGACGTCAGCCGTGGGGTACTTGTCCCGGTACCATCTACCAGTATCTTCCATCTATTACCTGAGTCTTCCAGTGTTTATCTCAGTGTTTTCACATCTAAGGCCTATTCTGACTTATTCTTTGTTGCCCTATTCTCCGCGCAATCTGCATCAATCCTGACAGGTGACCTCAGAGCGGCTTTGATATTTGTTCCAAGTCATCTCTCTCTTTTGGACAGGCAGAGATGGCAGATGATCCTTCAGCATGACCTTCAAATTCTGCTTCACCAACCTTGGTAAAGTTTTGATGGAAGTCGCTCATTCTCTGAGCTTGCTTCAGAGTGGCTGGCTGTAGCCCGTAGCACATCTGTGTGTTTTCTATCCCAACCTTCCTGAGAAACCATTCTCTTTTCGGAATGGATCTCGACGTACATGAGTCGTTCTTGCTGGACAGAATGTCTGGACTGATGCCGCTCCCGGCCAGTGGGTAAGAAGACCACCGTTCTGATTGAAGGCGAACATGATCAAATATAGTATCTTCCTTGTCAAGCTCAGAATGTGTCTGGAGGTACGTTCTCGCATATTTCTATTCCAACAGAAAGCTTTGCTGCCCAAAGCTGTCTGCCGTTCTTGTTCTTGTTGTTGTTCGGCAAGGCCTTGCTGGCTGCCACCTCGGTTGATTCCTGGGTAGACGCCAGTACATGGCATTTGAGTGAGCTGGTTTCAAATCACCGGTTTCATTTTTGAAGCCTTGATACAGGCTATGCTTATGGGTAGAGAGCTTTTCCTTCGGCACTTTGCCTGCGAGCTTTGCTGTCAGACCGCTTGATCGTTTGGGTTTGCCTCGCTCTGGGCATGCCATCCCTTTCTTCTCTTGTCCTTTACATGGCCTCGAGCTGAGCGATTTATTGTCTCAACTACCCTTTTCCTCCTTGCCGTGTTCGTCCTCCGGCTGGTGGTTCGGCGGGTCAGGCCAGGAAGTTCGTAAGGTCAACATTCAGCCTTCTCTAGCCGTCCAAGCCAGTGTGGCTTTCTCGTACGTCACATTGCTGTCCGCCTCTTGATTTCCGTTTTGATGCCGTGATTCGGAGCTGCTCAATGTTAAGATTTGAGCTTTTGATGTCCGCTTGAGCTGCCTCTCGAATTTGCTTCTATTCTCCATGGCATTCCTTCTCTGCGTCTCATAGGTTTCCAGCCGGGAATGCAAATATTTGAGACCATCGACCAGCCTTGTCTGTTCTTTCGCCGCGATATCGGCTTGAGCCGCCCGGTCTTTCTATGCAACAAGTATGGTTTTGACTCTTTTGCTAAGCTGTCCAGATTCTTGAGCTTTGTATTTAACCTTTAGACTCATTCTTTGACTCACCTAGTGACGGTGTATATAGTGGTTTTGCATCATTGGCGAAGTCAACTCCCTCAGTGTGTGCCTTTGTTCGGGCCTGCAATCTTGTCTACCCTTCCAAGGATGCATCCAAGCAATCAGCAAGCTACTGGAAGCTGCTATCCAGTCTGCCGTGAGAGTGACCGTCGGCTTCTATGCACTTTTCCAAATTAGTAGTCCCTTCCGTACCTCAGTTCTAATCCGCTATGAGGCCGTCATCTAACTGCTTATGGTACCATAGGTCCAACGTAATATTGTCGATTTGTTCCAACCGAGTTGCTTCATTTTGCTTCCAATTACTCATGTCACCATCCCGATCCTTGAGTTGTTGCTTTGTTTTTCCAATCTAACCGCGTCTGCGCGCCTGCTCGGCTTACCTTTTTGATGAATCTCCGTTTCTTCATGTTCGAAAAGGTATTTCCTGAACATATTCAGCCATGACTAAAGGCCAGACAGCCTTGTGGTCTTCTTCTTGTGCATCCATCATGCCATCGTCACTTTCAGCAGCCTGGGCAAAATCCCTTGCCATCGGGTCTGTTCTGTAGCTGATATCCACAAATTTGTTGCCATTTCTGTTTCGGGCCTTCCAACTTGTGGCAGCTCAACGAATTGATTTCGGTTCTTGAGAAAAGCGAGAATAATTACTGTTATTCGTTGCGGTCGCTTAGAGGTGAGTGGATAATAGCTCAACCTTGCGCTGGGATAAGCTCGGTCAATTCTCCGGTTCTAGACTTTCTGCCATTGCCCTCGATTGTCACCCATCAAACACACTCAACCAATTCTCAACTTTGCTGCATGCAGGCGTGACGTTAGCGTCTAGCGCCTTCGGCGTCTCTGAGATCGCTCGAGACCACAGTATAAGACCATCAATGTCTTCGAGTGGACTCCAAGCGACTTTTTCTGTGTTCTCCGATGGCCTGGCAGCACTTCAAAGGTGTATGCATCGAACTTGGGGAAAGACGGGGAATAGACACATAGAGCTTCCACCTCCTTTTATCCCCCACTGGATCCGCAATCTTTCCCACTCTCACCGAACCGGTTGGGACTTGAGACTTTTATGTATCGAAGCCTAAGATAAGACTCCTAGCGAGCTCAGAGCAATGTCCTGGCGAGTCTTGTCGAGAAGGTAAGCCTCCGGCGATCTCGTCGCTTCTGCAATCACGGTTGTTTACTTCTTGCTCCAAGAGATGTGGCTTCTAAGCCCTGGATGTGGGCAGATTGCCTGTGGACATCAAGACCAGTCGTTCGCTTCCCTTCACCTGCTTATAATCGTCAAACACATCACATACTCCGTCCTGAATGAAAGTTCCCAGGCCTCATGGTCTACGAGAGGCTAACTGGTTATTCGGGGACTAGCGGAGAGGACTTTCTCGCGGGGACGATGCAAAAGCCAAACACGCCGCCTCATGTGTTGCCTCAATGTCATGGTGGCGCCACTTTATGCTGCTGCGTACTTAAAGCATGGCAGGCACATTTATCGATGCTTCAAGCTCCACGCGAGTGTTTAAGCAACTCGCCAAAGCTGAAGTGACCTCATGGGCAATAAATCCCATCATGATTCTCAGGGAGTAGTCTTGTCCTGAGATGGTGCTTACCTAAGCTGCCGCTGACATCAGAAGAGGGGCGGGAAGGACCAATCCTGAACAGAAGTGGGTCCTTTGTGGAGTCAAGATGCTGGGAATTAATGGAGAAGGAACCAAGGCGGAAGACGGCCTGTACATAGGAAAATAGCAAACTGCCCGCGGCACGCCGAGGCACGCAGAGGCAACCAGAGGCAAACAGAGGTGAGCAGGCACGATGAGATACAAAGTCGATTCCGCTCAACACATTCAAAAGGCACTTCCACCACTTTTATCACCAGAACAAGTATCTTGAGGTTCCTGCAGAAAGAGTGTATCCTTTTACGTATACGAGAAATATGTTGATGGAAAGGGTAGAGTGTCGTATTATCCGCGGGGTGTGCGTACGTAGCCGAAGGACGGTCGTTCGTGTT